ATTTGTAAGGCCTCCTCAGACAACCATTTTGCCGGTTTTCATTTCTTTTTCTTGCATATGGTATTGATCACTGCTTCCTATACAATGTCACGAATCTCCACCCATAGTTCTTCAGGCGCTCTGTCTATCAGATTGAATCCCTTACATCTATTTGTCACTTCCACTGTATAGTCGTTAAGGGATTTGATTTAGGTCATGCCTGAATGGTCTAATGGTTTCCTCTACTTTCTTCAATTTAAGTCTGAATTTGGCAATAAGGAGTTCATGATCTGAGCCACAGTCTGCTCCCGGTCTTGTTTTTGCTGACTGTATAGAGCTTCTCCATCTTTGGCTGCAAATAAATAATCTATCTGATTTTGGTATTGACCATCTGGTGATATCCATGTGTAGAGTCTTCTCTTGTGTTGTTGGAAGAGGGTGTTTGCTATAACCAGTGCATTCTCTTGGCCAAACTCTGTTAGCCTTTGCCATGCTTCATTCTGTACTCCAAGGCCAAATTTGCCTGTTACTCCAGGTATTTCTTGACTTCCTCCTTTTGCATTCCAGTCCCCTATAATGAAAAGGACATGTTTTTTGGGTGTTAGTTCTAAAAGGTCTTGTAGTTCTTCATGGAACCATTGAACTTCAGCTTCTTCAGCATTACTGGTCGGGGCATAGCCTTGGATTACTGTGATACTAAATGATTTGCCTTGGAAATGAACAGAGATCATTCTGTCATTTTTGAGATTGCATCCAAGTACTGCATTTCAGACTCTTTTGTTGACCATTATGGCTACTCCATTTATTCTAAGGGATTCCTGCCCACAGTAGTGGATATCATGGTCATCTGAGTTAAATTCACTCATTCCAGTCCATTTTAGTTCATGGATTCCTAAAGTGTAGACATTCACTCTTGCCATCTCATGTTTGACCACTTCCAATTTGCTTTGTTTCATGGACCTAACATTCCAGGTTCCTATGCAATACTGCACTTTACAGCACTGGACTTTACTTCCATCACTAGTCACATCCACAACTGGGTGTTGCTTTTGCTTTGACTCCATCTCTAAATTCTTTCTGGATTTAATTCTCCACTGATTTCCAGTAGCATATTGGCACCTACCGACCTGGGAAGTTAATCTTTCTGTGTCCTATCTTGTCTACTTTGCCTTTTCATACTGTTCGTGGGGTTCTCAAGGCAAGAATACTGAAGTGGTTTGCCATTCCCTTCTCCAGTGGACCACATTTTGTCAGGCTAGGGATCAAATCAATGTCCCCTGCACTGGCCCGAACCACTGCACCACCAAGGGAGTCCTGAACAATTGATTTTTGACAAAGGCAATTCAGTGGAGAAAGAAGAATCTTTTCACAAAACTTTTTGAAACCACTGAACAACCATATGTAAAAGGAAAACAAAATATCTCCCACTTCAAAAAATATGAACTCAAAACTGATGACTGTTCTAAATGTAAAAAGTAAAACTATATAATTCTTAGAGGAAAACAGGACAATATTGTTTTGCTTGCGTGCTAAGTCTCTTCAGTTGTGTCTGACTCTTTGGATCCCTATGGATTGTAGACTGCAGGCTTCTCTGTCAATGGAATTCTCCAGGCAAGAATATTGGAGTGGATTGCCATGCCTTCCTCCAGGGGATCTTTCTGACCCAGGGATCAAACCTGAGTCCCTTACATCTGATCTGGCAGGTGGGTTCTTTACCACCAGGTCCATCTGGGATTGTAGTTAGGGAAAGAGTTTTTAGACATGACACCAAAAGCATGATCCAAAAAAGATAAAACTGGAAAACTTTCACTTTGCAAATGACCCTTAAAAGAATATAAAGACAAACTATACACTAGGAGAAAATATTTACAAACCAAGTTTCTGACAAAAGGTCATGAATTCTTGAAACTCAATAATAAGTAATCAAACAACCCAGTTAAAAAATATGCAAAAGACTGTTCATGAACAAACCATTCACCAAACAGAATATATGGATGGCAAATAAGCCAAGGAAAAAAATGTTCATCATTAGTTATTTGAAAGGCAAATTAAAATTATGATGAACTACCACTACACAGCTGTTAAAATGACTAATACTAACAATAACAATATCAACAATAACAAATACTTTTAAGGAACACAACAGCCACCCTTGAAAATGGTTTGGCAGAGTCTTCTAAAGTTTAAGTTTGCAATCTATAGATTCAATGCAATCTGTATCAAGCTACCAAGGGTATTTTTCAAGAGACTAGAACAAATAATTTCACAATTTGTATGGAAATACAGAAAACCTCAAATAGCCAAAGCAATCTTGAGAAAGAAGAATGGAACTGGAAGAAATCAACCTGCCTGGCTTCAGGCTATACTACAAAGGTACAGTCATCAAGACAGTATGGTACTGGCACAAAGACAGAAATATAGATCAATGGAACAAAATAGAAAGTCCAGAGATAACTCCACACACCTATGGACACCTTATCTTCCACAAAGGAGGCAAGAATATACAATGGAGAAAAGACAATCTCTTTAACAAGTGGTTCTGGGAAAACTGGTCAACCACTGTAAAAGAAGGAAACTAGAACACTTTCTAACACCATACACAAAAATAAACTAAAAATGGATTAAAGATCTAAATGTAAGACCAGAAATTATAAAACTCCTAGAGGAAATCATAGGCAAAACACTCTCCAACATAAATCACAGCAGGACCCTCTATGACCCACCTCCAAGAGTATTGGAAATAAAAGCAAAAATAAACAAATGGGACCTAATTAAACTTAAAAGCTTTTGCACAACAAAGGAAACTATAAGCAAGGTGAAAAGACAGCCTTCAGAATGGGAGAAAATAATAGCAAATGAAGCAACAGACAAAGGATTAATCTCAAAAATATACAAGCAACTCCTTCAACTCAATTCCAGAAAAATAAATGACCCAATCAAAAAATGGGCCAAAGAACTAAACAGACATTTCTCCAAAAAAGACATACAGATGGCTAACAAACACATGAAAAGATGGTCAACATCACTCAGTATCAGAGAAATGCAAATCAAAACCACAATGTGGTGCCATCTCACACCGGTTAGAATGGCTGCTATCCTAAAATCTACAAACAATAAATGCTGGAGAGGGTGTGGAGAAAAGGCAACCCTCTTACACTGTGGGTGGGAATGCAAACTAGTACAGCCACTATGGAGAACAGTGTGGAGATTTCTTTAAAAATTGGAACTAGAAATGCCATACGACCCAGCAATCCCACTGCTGGGCACATACACTGAGGAAACCAGAACTGAAAGAGACACGTGTACCCCAATGTTCACCACAGCACTGTTTATAATAGCCAAGACATGGAAACAACCTAGATGTCACATGAGCAGACGAATGGATGAGGAAGCTGTGGTACATATACACAATGGAATATTACTCAGCCATTAAAAAGAATACATTTGAATCAGTTCTAATGAGGTGGAGGAAACTGGAGGCTATCATACAGAGTGAAGTAAATCAGAAAGAAAAAAAAATATAGTATATTAACACATATATATGGAATTTAGAAAGATGGCAACGATGACCCTATATGCGAGACAGCAAAAGAGACACAGATGTATAGAACAGTCTTTTGGACTCTGTGGGAGAAGGCGAGGGTGGGATGATTTGAGAGAATAGAATTGAAACACATGTATTATCATATGTGAAACAGATCGCCAGTCCAGGTTCGATGCATGAGATAGGGTGCTCAGGGCTGGTGCACTGGGATGACCCTGCAGGATGGGATGGGGAGGGAGGTGGTAGGGGGATTCAGGATGGGGAGCAGATGTACACCCATGACTGATTCACATCAATGTATGGCAAAAACCACTAAAATACTGTAAAGTAATCAGCCTCCAATTAAAATAAATAAATTTAAAACAAAGAAAAAAAAATTAAGTTAAACATACACTTACCATATGACCCAGAATTTCCATTGCTAGGTATTACAGTAGGGAAATGAAAACATGTTCATACAAAAACCTGTACAAAAATGTTTATAGAAGCTCTATTCGAACCACTGAAAATTGGAAACAACTCAAATATTCTCTAGGGGTGAAAGCATAAACAAAATGATGTAGAGTGACACAATATATACTATGGCAATAAAAAGGAATGAATTATCCATAGATGCAACATTCAACAACTTAACAATCTCAAAGGCATTATTTTGAATGAAAAATGCCATTCTTAAAAGATTACATACTCTATGATTCCGTTGACATGCTATTCTCTATAAGATATAAGTATGACAGAGAATAGACTGGTAGTTTCCAGGGATTAGGGATGAGTTTGGGTATAATTATGAAGGGACAGCATGAAAAATTTCGGGGAAGGTTCAACTGTTCTGATCCTGATTGTGATACTGGCTATAGAAATCTATACATGTTTTAAAAATCCATATAACCATACAAGTCAGTTTTACTGACTTTTAAATTTAAAATAAAACTGCAAAACCCAAAGCATAAGTATAAATGAAATTGTCAAAAATAAAACTAACTTATTTTCCTAACTTTTAGTTTCATTTCACAAGATAAAATCCCAGGTGAGCCCTTTTTTCACTATTAATAATGAAACAGTGTTGTTTCATACAGACATACTTAAGTAGTCTTTTTCAGCACTCATTTTCCTCCAATAAAGAAGACCTCCTTTATATTAAAATATACACTGAATAAAAAAAGAGAGGGATATATGCCAGAGTGATAACCATGGCAAGTTGTTTCTGGGTAATGAGAGTATAAGTGACATTTTCTAAATTCTGTAGAATGAATTCATATAACTTTAATAATCAGTAGAAAAAAGGTAAAAAAGAATCCTTTAAATCCAGGCCTAGTGATGTTTTCTAAAAGAAACTTTGGGGCTGTAGTCTCTAAGAAGGGAGAAGATAAGCACGGAGGAGGAGAGAAGGTAGGCAGCACAAAAATGATCAAATCTTCTGGTGGTACTTGTGAAGTAAGAAAACTGGCCATTCTTAGGAAGGTGAAGGCTAGCTTACCTGAGACTGTTTGAAAACATCCTTCCCAACCACATCCAGGTTTGAGGGGTCTTTGATGGAACTAACATACTCAGAAACAGCCTTGATTACCACATCACAGGGAGGAAGAACCAGCTGATGAGCTCTGACCTAGAAGAAGTAAGATAAGCAAAGCACATTGATGTCTAAGATGGATCATTAAGAAAAAGGGTGAGACAGGTGTGAGATACAGAATTCAAATTCAGTAAATCCACTGAGAGACAGTTATCATCTTTTCTTTAAATTAATTTCCCCCTAATTTTCAGTACAGAACACTTGGAATCAAGATTGAAAAGGATAAAGAAAGAAAAAAACATATCAGCTATAATCCCACAACAAAGATTACTGTTTTATGGCACTGCCATAATTAATCATGATAAATTGTCATGATACATTTTAGCTGTTTCCAAACTTCTGCTATTAAAGGTAATGTTGTAATGTGTGAATCATGTTTGACTCCTGATTTGAAGTAACCACAAAAAAGTTTTTGTAAGACAATCATGAAAATCTAAAAATGGATTAGATATTAAGATGATATCAAGAAATTATCCTTAATTTTTTAAAAGTAATAATGGCATTGTGCCTAAATAAGAAAATGCTCATATGTTTTACATATGCATATCAAAGAAAAGGCGAGTGAAATAACTTGAGGACTGGCATCTGTTTTAAAATATATGAGTAAGAGCAACAACAACAACAACAAAAACTCAAGCAAGTGTGGCCACATTTTAACAATTACTGGTTATAGAAGATGTTACTGTGACAGTTAACTATATATTACTTTTTCTATTTTTGTGATGCTTGAAAATTTTAAATGGTATGGTAAAATGTAGGTATGACTTGCTGACTACCTTCCAATTATCTAATTACATGTTTTCTAGAATGATAATTGCTGAGTAAAAGGCTATCAACTTCTTAAAAGCTTTTCAGTTCAGTTCACTTCAGTAGCTCATGTCGTGTCCTTGCAAACGCATGTCGTGTTTTTGTGACCCCATAGACTGCAGCATGCCAGGCTTTCCTATCCATCACCAATTCCCGGAACTTGCTCAAACTCATGTGCATCAAGTCAGTGACACCATCCAACCATTTCATCCTCTGTTATCCCCTTCTCCTCAAGCCTTCAATCTTTTCCAGCATCAGTGTCTGTTCAAATGAGTCAGCTCTTCGCATCAGGTGGCCAAAGTATTGGAGCTTCAGGTTCACTATCAATCCTTCCAATGAATATTCAGGATTGATTTCCTTTAGTTTGATCTCCTTGCTGTCCAAGGGACTCTCAAGAGTCTTCTCCAACACCACAGTTCAAAAGCATCAATTCTTTGGTGCTCAGCTTTCTTCACAATCCAACTCTCACATCCATACATGACCACTGGAAAAACCATAGCCTTGACCAGACGGACCTTTGTNGCCTTTCTTTGGGATTGGAATGAAAACTGACCTTTTCCAGTCCTCTGGCCACTGCTGAGTTTTGCAAATTTACTGGCATATTGAGTGTAGCACTTTCACAGCATCATCTTTTAGGATTTGAAATAATTCAGCTGGAATTCCATCACCTCCACTAGCTCTGTTCATAGTGATGCTTCCTAAGGCCCACTTGACTTCACATTCCAGGATATCTGGCTCTAGGTGAGTGATCACACCATCGTGGATATCTGAGTCATGAAGATCTTTTTTGTATAGTTCTTCTGTGTATTCTTGTCACCTCTTCTTAGTATCTTCTGCTTCTGTTACATCCATACCATTTCTGTCATTTATTGTGCCCATCTTTGCATGAGATGTTTCCTTGGTATCTCTAATTTTCTTGAAGAGATCTCTAGTCTTTCCCATTCCAATGTTTTCCTCTATTTCTTTGCATTGATTGCACTGAGGAAGGCTTTCTTATCTCTCCTTGCTATTCTTTGGAATTCTGTGTTTAGATGGGTATTTCTTTCCTTTTGTCTTTTGCCTTTCACTTCTGTTCTTTTCTCAGCTATTTGTTAGGCCGCCTCAGACAACCATTTTGCCATTTTCCACTTCTAAAAACTTTTAATACAAATTACTTAGGTATAGGGTGTACCATTGATTCCTTCCTTTAATAAATATTTAATGCCTATTTTATGCCTGGCACAGTTCCAGGCATCAGGGATGCAGGAATCAAAAAGACAGACAAAACTCCCTGCCTTCATGGGCGCTTAATTTCTAGTACAGGTGTGTTAGGATGGCATAAAGTTGGTGAAACAAACAGAATAATAAAATGTATAGTGTGCTAAATGTAGGTAAGGGCTATGGAGAAAGTGTTAGCAGAGAAGGCGTTAGAGAATACAACTGTCTGTGTGTGGCGGGTGTGGGAGGAGGAAATTTTAAGAGTGTCAGGAAAGGTCACAGTGCCAAAGAACATTTGAAAAACCTGTAAGAGTGAAGAAATGTCTGCGTGGGAGGAAAAGGCAGTCTCAGTACAGGGAATGGTAAATGTAAAGATTCTAAGAACAAAAGAAAAGGAGATGAGATCAGAGCTGTACGTGAGGGCCAGAAAGCATATTGCTTTTTAGGCCATGGTAAAGATTAGGTTAGTGATATGAAGCGCCATTAGAGAATTATAAAAAGAGAAGTGACATGACTTGAGTCAGTTTTTAAAGTGACTCTGGCTGTTGTACTGGGAATAGATTTGGGGCCAAGGGTGAGAGGTATTGGGACATGAAATAGTGAAAGCAGAAGACCAATAGTTAGTAAAGTGGTATAATAATCCAGGCAAGAATGATGGCTTGACCAAGGTAATAGCTGTGAAACTGGTGAGAAGTGGATATATTTTGAAGGAAGAACTGATGGTATTTCCTGACCAGAAGAGAGGTGGAGCATGAGTAAGAGAGAAGTCAAGGGTGACTCCAAGCCTTTCAAGCCAAGCAACTGGAAGGATGAAGCTGCTGTTAATGAAAATTAGGGAAGGCTGTGGAAGGAACAGGTTTAGGGGAAAGATCAGGAGTTTCCATTTGGATGTGTTTCTTTGACATGTTTAGTAGGCCATTAGATATCGGGAGCTAAAGTTCAAATGGGAGGTCAAAGGTGGAGACATGTATTTAGGAGTCATTAATGGACATATGGTATTTAAAGTCATGACACCAGATGAGATCAACCACCAAAGCAGTGTGTGTGGATAGAAGAGAGAAAGGACTGAGGACAAAACTCTGGGACACTCCAAAGTTACGTACATAAGACAAGGAAACAGCAAAGGAGACAGAAGCAGCAGCCAGTGAAGTAGGTAGGACACTACAAGAGAATAGGGTCTTTAAAGCCAAGTGAAGAACATGTTCTCAGAGAGTGAGCAAGTGGGTCATATACTGCTGACTGGTCAAGCAAGATGAAAACTGAGAGCTAGCCATTAGATTTATTAACATCACAGTCACTGGTGACTTTGTTGAAAGCAATTTCAGCACAGCAAATTGAAGACAGAACAGAGAATGGGAACAGTAAACAGCTCAAACATAGGCAACTCTCTAGAAGAGTTTGCTAAAAGGGAAAAAGAAATACAGAGCAGTAGCTTGGGGGCGGGGGAGTGAAATCAAGAGCAGGTTTTATTTTTTATGATGGATGCATGCCTATGCATCTGATGAGAAAAAGCCAATAAGAGAGGGAAAATGGTGTGGGAGAAAGAGGGGAGAACTTCTGAAGTGATGTCCTTAAGTTAGCAAGGAGGCATGGATTCAGCATAAGAGCAGAAGTGTTGGCCTAAGACAGGAACAGTGACAGGTCATCCAAGGCAGGCAGAGCAAGTAGGTGAGAAGTTGAAAGGGTGGGACCTGGTGAAAGTTTTGCTCCCATTGCTTCAATTTTCTGAGTGAAATAGGAAGTCAGGTCATGAGCTGAGAATGAGCAAGGAAGGAGAATTAGAGGCTTGAGGAGAGAAGGAAAGATGTGAAACAGACATCTAGGAGAGTGAAAGGATTAGGGAAATGTAATACCACCACCAACTTACACTACCACAAGAAGTATATGATAGCACCAGTCTCAACACAGCCTTGACAGGAGTGGGTAGACTAATCTTTCAATATTTTCTAAACTGTTAGGTTAAAAAAAATCACATTGCTCACTTAATTTGCATCTCTGATCACTAGTGAGGTTTAACACCTAGTCACATTATTGGCCACTATAGTTCCTCTTTTGTGAATTGTCTGCTTCTTTCCTTTGCTCATTTTTTTATTTACTAGGGTATTAGTATTAACATTTTTCTTCATAGGTTTGTATGAACCCTTAAGATAATAAGGGTATGAGAGAATACAAAACATATATTGTTCTCTGACCACAGTTCCTGGCATAGAGCACCTAAAATCCTTGTAATTTCCTAGGTGGTAAGAGCACTCCTGTGCTCAGGATCCTCCCAGACCTCATCCTATGTATCTCTTCATCTGGCTGTTCATCTGTGTCCTTTATCATACCCTTTAATAAACTGATACATGTAAGTATGTATTTCCCTGAGTTCTATGAGGTGTTTTAATGGGATGGGGAGGGAGGTGGGGGGGGGGNAGGGCCCTCCCAGGCCTCGCCTATGTCTCGCCTCATCTGGCTGTTCATCTGTGTCCTTTATCGTATCCTTCAATAAACTGGTAAATGGAAGTGTGTCCCTGAGTTCTGTGAGCTGCTCTGCACACCATTGAACCCGAGCAGGACACAATCATGGGAGCCCCTTCTAGTCAAGTCAAGCAGAAGTGGTGGGTAGCCTATTACTTGTGACTGGCCTCTGAAAGGAGGGGCGATCTCATAGGGCTGAGCCCTCAGCCTCTGGGATCTGATGTTTTCTCCAGACTGACAGTGTGAGAATTGAGTTGAATTATAGTACACCCAGCTTGCGTCACAGAATTGCTCAGTTTTGGGGGAAAATGACCCGTAGAGCTAGTTATCAGCAGTGTTGTATGATTGTAGTGTGTGAGGAAAGGAGACACATGAAAGGACTGGGTTTTTTTTCTTGTACGACATACAATCCAATATTATTCAGCCATCAAAAAGGCTGAGTGGAGACTGACATGTGCTACAACATGGATGAGCCTTGAAAACGTTATGCTGAGGGAAAGAAGCCAGACACAAACGGCCACACGGCCGTTAAATGCCGTGTGTTAAATTCCCGTGTGTTAAATGCCCAGAACAGAGACGAAAAGCAGATTAGTGGTTGTCAGAGGATGAGGGGAAGGAGGGAGTCGGGGGGTGACTGTTCAAGGGTGCCAGGCATTTTGTGGGGTTGATAAAAAGTGATTAGAAAGTGGAGAGAAACAGCTTCCCACCATAAAGCACAGGGAATTATATTCAATATCCTGTGATAAACCATAATAGAAAAGAATATGTATATATATATGAATCACTTTGCTGCACAGCAGAAATTAACCTAACATTGTAAATCAGCTATACTTCAATAAAATTAAAAGGAGAAAGCAGAGAGAGCTGGTGATTGCACAGCACTGTGGATTACTAAGTGCCCCCTGAATCATCTGCTTTAAGATGGTGAATTGCAAGTTCAGTGATTATCACACCCCTGAAAAGGGGAGGAGCAGTGCTGCGAGAAATGATAGGGACTGACCTCCTGGATATGTTGCAAGTGAAAAAGAATCACAGCACAGGACAGGGCACAAGAGGTCTACCCCTGTTACCCCCACACACGCAAACAACAGGGAGGTGGACATTAGTCCCTGAGAACATGGGTGTTTGTGGAAGGAGCATAGTCCAGGCACGTCTAGAAAGGATTCAATGTGCTAGAGGTTTGCTGGATCCCACGGAGGCCAGCAGGGCCATCCCAACAATGCAGGTGTCACCCTGAGAGAAGAGAGGGAAGGAAAGGGGATGAAGAGAGGATCAGGTAGGAGAAGGGGAAGGTTCCTGCCGGGTCAAAGTACTCTTCCCTTTTTTAAAGATTTTATCTTGATGTGGGCCATTTTTAAGCCTTTATTTAATCTGTTACAATATTGCTTCTGCTTTATTTTTTGTTCTTTGTTTTTGGCTGTGAGGCATGTGGGATCTTAGCACCCTGACTGGGGATCGAACTTGCGTCCCCTGCATTGGAAGGTGAGGTCTTAATCACCGGACCACCAAGAAAATCTCCAAGAACTCTTCCTGATTCAGTTCCATTCAGTCCAGTGGCTCAGTCGTGTCCAATTCTTTTCAACCCCACGGACTGCAGCATGCCAGGCTTCCCTGTCCATCACCAACTCCCGGAGCCTGCTCAAACTCATGTCCATCGAGTCAGTGATGCCATCCAACCATCTTATCCTCTGTCGTCCCCTTCTCCTCCTGCCTTCAATCTTTCCCAGCATCAGGGTTTTTCCAGTGAGTCAGCTCTTCACATCAGGTGGCCAAAGCATTTGACTTTCAGCTTCAGCATCAATCCTTCCAACGAATATTCCTGATTTAGGTCCTGCCTGCTGTCAGCATTGATCTCTGTTGCTGATAAGCTGGAGTGTTCCAGAAGCAGGGGTAGCCAGACCATCACAGTAAATGGCATGACCCACGTATCACTCCTTCTCTGACCCATGGTCCTTCTTGCCACTTGCCTACCACGTGACAAATGACAAAGGTGGCTGACGTTGGCTGGCTGGGTCACGTGGTCCATGCAGTTGTGCCAAGCCTTCATCATGGTGGGTGATTTCTGTGTGCTGTTGATGCTTATACAGAAATTCCTGTGCTTTAGTCCACTCCTGATTGTCCATTGATGCTTCTACTCCAGACCTCCTTGTCTTTTTAAAAATTAATTAATTAATTAACTTGGCTGTGCTGGGATCACATTATGCAGGATCTTTCATTGTGGCCCCGGGCTCAGCATTTGTGGCTCATGGGCTTAGTTTCTCCGTGGCATGTGGTATCTTAGTTCCCTGACCAGGGATCAAACACCCATCCTCTGCATTGGGAGGCAGATTCTTAACCACTGGACCACCAGGGAGGTCCCTTCATTGTGGTTTTGATTTGCATTTCTCTGATGACCATTGAGCACAAATAAATTTTAGGTTAAATATTTTGCATGTAGGGGCTTCCCTGGTGGCTCAGCGGTAAAGAATCTGAATGCAATGCGGGAGACAGGTGTTCAAACCTTGGGTCTGGAAGATCTCCTGGAGAAGGAAATGGCAGCCCACTCCAGTATTCTTGCCTGGAGAATTCCATGGACAGAGGAGCCTGGAGGACTAGAGTCTGTGGGGTGGCAAAAAGTCAGGTGCAACTTAGCAATTAAACCACCACCACTAAAGAGAGACTGAAGGGGAAGTGAAGTGAAGTGAAAGTCCAACTCTTTGTGACCCCATGGACTATACAGTCCATGGAATTCTCCAGGCCAGAATACTAGAGTAGGTAGCCTTTCCCTTCTCTAGGGGATCTTTTCAAACCAGGGATCAAACTCAGGTCTCCCGCATGGCAGGCAGATTCTTTACCAGCTGAGCCACAAGGGAAGCCAGACTTAAGGGAGATGATAACCAAACACAGACTTTGTTTGGAACCTGATTCTAACGCTCCAGCTGTAAAAAGTCATCTTTTGAGACAGCTCGGGAAATTGGGAGATGGGTGATGCATCTTGGGAGCCTATGAAAATTCCCGTTGTTTTTTGAGCCAAGTGGCAGAGAAACAGAGAAATGATTTAAGGCCTGGGAGTGCTTTAAAATAAAGTAAAAATACATTGAAAATAGAGTAACCTTGAAAACATCATGCTGAGTGGAGGAAATCAGCCACAAAACCCCATGTCATGTATGATTCCATTGACATGAAATGCCCAGAACAGGCAGATCCACAGAGATAGAAAGCCAATTAGCTGCTGCCAGGGACTGGGGAAGGAAATGGGAGGGATTGCTCATGGGGATGGGGTTTCCTTTTGGGGATGAAGGGAGTGTTCTAGAATAGAACTTAGATAGAGGCGATGGCTGCATGACACTGTGAATATATTAAAAATGATTGAACTGTACACTTTGAAGGGCTTCCCAGGTGGCACTAGTGGTAAAGAACCTGCCTACCAATGCAGGAGACATAAGAGATGCAGGTTCAGTCCCTGGGTTGGGAAGATCCCCTGGAGGAGGGCATGACAACCCACTGCAGTACTCTGGTCTGGAGAATCCCATGGACAGAGGAGCCTGGTGGACTAGCGTCTGTGGGGAGGCAGAAAGTCAGACACAGCTGAAGCAACAGAATACACATACATGCTTTAAAAGGATGCATTAAATCAAAATTACAATGAGACATCACCTCATACTGGCCTGAATGGCCATTATTAAAATGGCTACAAATAGCAAATGCGACAGAGTGTGTGGAGAAATGGGAACCCTCCTACACTGTGGGGGCGAATGTAAGCTGGTGCACCCACTATGGAAAACAGTATGGAGTATCTTCAAAAAGCTAAAAATAGAGTTGCCATACGATCCTGAAATCCCACACCTGAGCATATATACAGACAAAACTCTAGTTCAAAAAGGTACACGTGCCCCAATGTTCATTGCGTCACTATTCACAACAGCCACAACATGGAAGCAACATTAATGTCCATAGACAGATGAATGGATAAAGATGTGATACATATGTACAATGGAATATTACTCGACCATGAAAAATGAAACAATACCATTTGGAGTAACCTGGATGGATGCAGAGATTATCATCCTCAATGAAGCAAGTCAGAAACAGAAAGGCAAATACCATATGACATCACTTATATGCAGTAAAATATGACGCAAATCAACTTATCCATGAAACAGAAGCTTCCCGGATAGCTCAGTTGTTAAAGAATCCGTCTGCAATGCAGGAGACCCCAGATTGATTCCTGGGTTGGGAAGATCCACTGGAGAAGGAACAGGCTACCCACTCCAGTATTCTTGGGCTCCCCTGGTGGCTCAGCTGGTAAAGAATCCTCCTGCAACACAGGAGACCTGGGTTCGATCCCTGGGCTGGGAAGGTCCCCTGGAAAAGGGAAAGGTTGCCCACTTGTGTTCCGGCCTGGAGAATTCCATGGACTGTATAGTCCATGGGGTCACAAAGATTCAGACAGGACTGAGTGACTTTCACAAAACAGAAACACTCACAGACATAGAGAACAGCGTTGTGGTTCCCAAGCGGAGGGGATGGGACAGGGATGGATTGAGAGTGTGGGGTTAGCAGATGCAAATTAGCATGTATAGAATGGATAGATAAGGTCCCACTGGATAGCATAAGGAACTATATTCAATGCCCTGTGATAAACCATAATGGAAAAGAATACATAAAAAAGACTGAATCATGTATATATGGCTTCCCTAGCGACTCAGACAGTCAAGAATCTGCCTGCAATGCAAGAGACTTGGGTTCAATCCCTGGGTCAGGATCCCCTGGAGAAGGAAATGGCAACACAATCAAGTATTCTTGCCCGGAGAATGCCATGGACAGAGGACCCCGGTGAGTCCATGGGGTTGCAAAGAGTCGGACACAACCAAGGGACTAACACATACACATGCTATACACACACACACACACACACACACATATACATATACATACATATATATATAACTGAATCACTTTGCTGTACGGCAGAAATTAACACAACATTAATTAACTCTACTTCAATTTAAAAAAAAGAGTGCATTGTAGGTTGTGTGAAAGCTGTTTAAAAATAATGAAGTGGGTAAAGGACGCCTGTGAGGCCAATGCCTGACAATTTAGAGCCTGAGAAATGGGTCCATGGCAGGGGTAATATATGATTCTCTCAATTTGGGGGTATGTTTCAACATTGCCTGGAAAATCTCGCAGACAGAAGGGCCTGGTGGGCTACAGTCCATGGGGTTGCAAAAAGTTAGACATGACTGAGCGACTCACACTTTCACTTTTTCACTTTGAACATTTTTATAATGAACGATGGGAGTACTTCATGGCGGATGATGGACATTATTAAGTTAGCTGTTCTCGCCTGCCCTAATAGAGCAAGACCCAAGTGGCTGGCAGCCCTCAGTGATATGTCCTGGTGGGAGGTGGACCAGGGGCTTAGTCAGGGCCTCAGGTTGGGCTGACTACAAGCTGGGGCCAAGACCCAGACTCCAGTCAGTAGGACAGGACAGCAATCACTCAGGCCTGAGAATTCCCTGTGCCATTGGAGTTTCAGCAGCAGGTTTGCTGAATCATGGAGGGAATTAATGTGGACAGTTCCTGGGCACAAGGTCCTGGGACATTGACAGCTGATTTCCTGGCTACCTGGCTCTGGGTGGGTCAGCGTGGCTTCTTAGGTCTGAATTGTCCAAACACGTGTTCCTGGTTTACCAAACTCAGCATGATGAACCCAGCTTTGCTGCAGAAAAGGTGGCTTCCCTGATAGCTCAGTTGGTAAAGAATCTGCCTGTAATGCAGGAGACCCGGGTTTGATTCCTGGGTTGGGAAGATCTGCTGGAGAAGGCATAGGCTACCCACTCCAGTATNTCACTTTTCACTTTCATGCATTGGAGAAGGAAATGGCAGCCCACTCCATTGTTCTTGCCTGGAGAATCCCAGGGACGGCGGAGCCTGGTGGGCTGCCATCTATGGGGTCGCACAGAGTCGGACACGACTGAAGCGACTTAGCAGCAGCAGCAGCAGGAGAAGTGGACATCTGTTCAAACCAAAACTTGCACACACATATTCAGAGTGGCAGTAGGATGGAGACTAAACAACATCTACTAAGAAGCCAATGGATCGGACTTTCCTGGTGGTCCAGGGGTGGAGAGGCTGCCCGCCAATGCAGGGCTTGTTTTCATTGTTCAGTTGCCAAAGTGCCCAACTTTTTGTGATCTCAGGGACTGCAGCACACCAGGCTTCCCTGTCTTTCACTATCTCCCTGGGGGTTTGCTCAAATTCACGTCTGTTGAGTCGGTGGTGTCATTCAGCCATCTCATCCTTTGTCGCCCCCTTCTCCTCCTGGGACATGGGTTCAGTCCCTGATCTGGGAGGATCCCACAGGCTGCGGGGCAGCTGAGCCTGTGAGCCACGGCTACTGAGCCCGCACATGGCAGCTACTGAAGCCCACATGCCTGAGAGCCCGTGCTCCACGGCAGGAAGAGCCATCACAAGGAGAAGCCCCAGCACAGGAGCCCCTGCGTGCAGTGACTAGAGAAAGATCATGTGTAGCAACAAAGACCCACTGTAGCCAAAAATAAATAAGTTAGTAAAAATAAAGGAACAGGCTTACGAGAACACTTTATTAAAACCAAAACCAATGGGTCAGTGATGAAATCAAAGAGGAGATCTTAAATGATAAAAACACAGTCATACAAAATCCATGGGATGCAGCCAAATAAGTTCTTAGAGGGACGTTCGTGGCAACATAGACGGTAAAAGGAGATGAAACTCCAACACATCTTACATCATGGATGAACCTCAAAACCATTATGATAAGTAAGAAAAAGCCAGACACAAAAGGCTGCATGTTGTATGGCTCCATTTATGAGAAATATCCAAACAGGTAAATCCATAGAGACAGAAAGCAAATTAGTGGTTGCCAGGGGTTGGGGGAGAGGGGTACGGAGTGACTCTTCATGGGTACCAGGTTTCTTTCTGGCATGATGAAAAAGTTCTGGAATGAGGCAAAGGTGATGGTTGCACAACACTGTGAATGTACTAAATGCCACTGAATCGTTCACTTTAAAATGGTGAAATTTCTACATT